CTAATATTTGCCTTTTAATTAAGTTTTAATCTGTAGTTTGATATTTTGTATTTTTATCTGGTTGTTAGCCGCCCTGAGTCCGCAAGGAGAAGGGCGGGATATAAATATAAATATAAATAAATAAATAAATAAAACATTATCCTGGCCCAGGCACCGTATAAACACCACGCAGGAAATTTTCCTGGGACATGTATATTTGCCTTCATTTGTGAGAATAAAATTTTCCAAAATGTGAGTAATTATGCAGTTGACATCAATGGTGTCATTTGCAGCAACCTCAATATAACAGGCAAACTCTCCCTTTAATAGTCTGTTAAACGGAGAGAAAATTGTGTTGCATTTTACGTCTGCTAAACCAAGGGTTTACTCTATTGATGTATTGGGGAATATAACATTTTCTCTTTCGAAAACTTCTTTTAACAGTTATCCTTGAAAAACCGATCCGAATTCCGAGATTCCTTTCTGTTAAGGCCTCCCATGTTTTGAAGGGATTTTTAAATAAGGTAGGTTGACAATATTTTGTCTTTGGGGTTTATTTTCACCCGTTAAGCACAACAGCATTTTTGGGCTGGCTGCCTTTCATTAATCCTGGGGTGATTGTGGTTTATTCACTAAACCTTATTTTGAACAGTGTGCGAACCAGGGCAAAATACACTAAGAAGAATTCTTCTGTATTTTATTCTATAATTTGGTAAAGTGTAAAAATAGGGAGACAGAGTTGCCAGTTGAATTTAGTGGCTTCTTTTATAAAGGAAAATTTGTTCTTAAATAATTTTGTCTTCAGACTTTGGCCTCGTAAACCTAACAATCGTGGGAAAATTCATTTTGATTCTTCCTCTTAGGATCCCAAAGAGAGGCTTGGATGCCAACACCAAACAGGATTTTCCGAAATCAAGTCACACACATTTTTTCGCAGCATAGACTGGGATCTGGTAAAGCATTTAACTTTTTTTTTTGTCCCCCTTTGGTGTTGTGCCTGTGTCTCTGAGCCGTTCTTTTGCACCTGCCAACTGATCTTGGTAGAAGTCACTTCCGCAAAGGGGCAGCTTAATGGGTGGGGCAGCTTAATGGGTGTATCACATGTGTCATACCCTCATCACTGTTTACATCCTTTGTGTAAGAACATCAAGAAGCAAGAGGCAGAACCACCTCACAGAATGAGTGAGGAACTATAGCTTGAAAGACTTGGTTCAGACATCATTCCACATCAGGTGGCCATTTCCAAACAAACCAGCACACCATAATAAAAAATGGCCAATCTGGTTTTATCATTATGGTTGCCCAGTTAGATCCACAACGAACCAATAATCTTTGCATACCCATACAATCAGCTCCCATTTGAGACAAACCTATTTCTACTTCCCTTTGTGGGGAGTTTCTCGTTGCCTTGTTCTCTGTCCTTCCACACTCCCCTCCGATCTGCTTTGGGATGGCACCTGACCTTCTAAGACAGCTGGAGAACTCGGTGTTTCAGCAAGATCTAAGCTGGTGCAGAACCAGAATTATAGTGTGCCTCTATTTTGTTGACTGATGTCTAGAAGCCTCCTGAGATGTGACATCAAGTCACTGCTAAGCTATTCCCTCCTGACCTGATACGTTTGTTTGTGTTGAGTCCAACAATAAGGAGGATCCAAATTCCCCTGTCTTCCTTCAAAGCCACTTTTGACAGAAAGAGGTCAACAAGGAGCCATAGTCATGTGCCTAGATAGGCTTAGAAGAAAGCCATGGTTTCAGATCCTCACTCAGCTGCGTGACTCCTTGGATGACCCTGAATCTACCACTGTATTTCAAGGATAAAACAGGACAGCCACGGGAGACAGACAGACGGAGTCAGCAGGTGCTAAATGACAAACAGTTGTGAAGGCTTTCTCACTTGCTCAAATTACACACCAGCAGTGACAGATTCGCAACCTTAATTCCAAGCCTGCACAAGCACTTTCAATGCTGACTCTGACAGACACAACTTATTTCTGGCTCTCCTCCATCTTGATCAGAAAGGGTCCTCAGAAGACAAGGGCAAACATAGAGAACTCTCAATCCTGGTCTTGGAAAGGCCTCTTTTGTCGGCTACATGATGGTTAACTAACTGGGGGTGAATTTAGTGTCTTTTGGACAACACATCACCTCCTCCTGTCTCTCTCTCTTCCCCCCCCCCTCTGCTCTCAATTCAGCTGGAAAAGAAGCAGGCCACCCCACCGTTTCAGCCTCAGATCACGGACGATTATGGCTTGGATAACTTTGATACCCAGTTCACCAGTGAACCTGTGCAGTTAACTCCGGATGATGAGTATGGCTAATAGTTAAATACATTGTTGAGCATTAAATCATAGTACAGTGCTTCTCAACCTTAGCAATTTTAAACTGCTTGGACTTCAACTCCCAGAATTCCCCAGCCACCACAGCATCCCCAGGGCCACAGGATTAGAATTCAGATACATGGCAACTGGTTCGTATTTATGATCGTTGCAGTGTCCCGGGGTCATGCGATTCGCTTTTGCGACCTTCTAACAAACAAAAGTCCATGGGTCAGCCAGATTCACTTAACAACTGTGGCATTTTTAAATAGTAAAATGGGGCCAGAGTCAGTTAACTGTCTCGCTTAGCAACAGAAAGTGCGGTCGTTAAGTCGAGACTACCTCTATTTTCCACCAGTCTCACTGCACGGCCACAAAATTGAAAGCACCCAGACCCACAAACCTTGGTTATTGCAAAGAAAACATGATTTCTCTGTTTGTTTTGAGCAGGCTTGCCCATTAGGATTGCCGGCCTTTGATAAAACATCAGAGACGAGCGTTAAATTCTTTTTTCTTTCTTTCTTTCTTTCTTTCTTTCTTTCTTTCTTTCTTTCTTTCTTTCTTTCTTTCTTTCTTTCTTTCTTTCTTTCTTTCTTTCTTTCTTTCTTTCTTTCTTTCTGTCTCCAGAGATGTAATAAAAAGAATAGACCAGTCGGAGTTTGAAGGATTTGAATATATTAATCCACTGATGCTATCGAACGAGGAAACGGTATGAGAAACCAGGCGCAGAGGGGAAAAAACCAAAAGGAACGCACTTGGACATTTAATCCTGAATTACAGTATATGCATGCAAGGCTGGGGCGGGGTCACCATAAGGTTTTGAATGGAAGACCAAATGGTAAAATGGCCGCTGAGAAAAATCAAGATACGTGATTTGGGTGGGTGGCTTCCTCTCCTTTTTTTTTAAGTCCGGGGGAACTGGCAGAGCTGACTTCGTGGATTTCGCACTCCGTGCCTGCTTCAACAAAGGGGTCGGTGATGGTTTGTTGCGTCCTTGGGAAGAGATTCCAGACCACTTTGAAAAGTAGCCCGCTTCTATCGGACTTTACCATGCAACAGCCTCCTAAAACAGTTGAACATCCAGAATACAATTGCTTGTGGTGTTGAAGCTTAACTTTAGATGCCTTTTCTCACAAGTGGTACCTATCCTACATGTGTGTGCGTGGGTCTGTATGTGTGTGTGTGTACATTCACATCTATGTAGGCACACATGTATACGCACACTGGCTAAATCAATAGAAAGGAGTTGTGTTTTATTAGCGATGTTAACAAATTTGGGTACAGTATTTTAAGTGCCTAAATGGATAATCTACATTAAATTATTCCATTTTTTTGGAACCATTGATGAACCCTGTAAGTTCTGGTTATTTAAAACGAAAAGTATTTTACACATGGAACCTACAAATAACAGCTGCTATCTAACATTAATCAACAGTCTCAGAATGGACAGGAATCTTAGCAATAACAATTCCCAAAATTAGAATTTTGCATCTAAACATTCTGGATTATGCTGAATGTGGGAGAAGAAAAAAAAATACTACCAAAATTCCCATCAGAAAATTTAAATTTGCACATGGTGGATTTATGAAAATATTTGAGCAGTGCCTACAATGATTTATGTTGTATACTAGATTTTTGAATAATATTTTTATCAATGCAATATTCAAAAGGAACAATGGGAACGTAATAGATCTTAGCCTTAAAATTTTGGAAAGAAAAAAAAAAAAGAATTCTAGGATATCCATCAACATACTACTTTTTTTTTCTGATAAAGCACACCTCCGAAGTTCTCCCAGAGGTTGTTTTGGTAAATGAAACACTATCAAAACAGCCACTTGGGGATAGGAAAGGCGAACCACAGATAAAAATATTACTTGGATATAAAAATGTCTATTATTTTCTCTCTTTGGAGAACGGCGATGTGTTTCATCGGGATAATTGCTTGTCAATTTTTGGAATTCAAAGGAAATTCAGTGCATTTCAGATTGAACGACTAGTGCATATTGCTAATCTAATACCGGAACCCTTTCCGAAGTCTCTTTGGGTCGATTGCAGTTTTGGAGAATGAGGTTTAAAAATAAAAATCAGATTGACTCTACGGGGGTCAATTGCAATGGCAGATAGAAAAATCCCATTATGTCACGACTTGGTGGATATCAAATGACTCGGTCTAGGCTTCTCAGGATATAACATTGCGTTGGTTGCCGTACAGGAAATCTTACCTGCATTTGCAGCCATCAGATGCTAGGATATGGCTAAATTTGAAAGGTGGATAAATCTGGCCAAGAACCATTGGTTAAATTTCATTTTGGATTCTTCCTTTAGCTTGGCCAACGATTAAAGCACATATATGATAAGAAAATGTTAGCACCCCCGTGCCGGGTTCTTGAAACTTGACTGTTTTGCTTTTGAGCAAGATTCTTAAGTCTGTTCTAACCAGCACTTAGTTAATTCAGCTAGAATTATTTTTTTTTTTCCTCTTCAGTGCTCGGGATTTAAATAACCAAGCTACTTTGCTTTTAAGCAAAGCTGGAAAATGAATATCCTACTCCCCCCCCCCCAGCGACAAATTCAGTATTTCCTTCACTGCTGTCCCCCTTCGATTTGCAGCTGAGCAGTTGGTTCTTGTATACTGTCCAAACATCAAAGCAGGACTAGATACACACTTGATCCCAGGCATCAAAAAACAAAGTCCTTGATTTATTTACAATTTAAGGCATTTACAATGTTGCTGTGTTGCCAAATAAGTTAACTGGTTACAAGTCGGTTTGCTGCTCTTGTTGCAATGTATAATGTTCTGTCCATGATGAAGGGGAAATTTTTTTATATAAAGTTCTTGTTTTATAAATTAAAGAAAAAAAAATGAAGGATGTAATTAAATGTGTGGTTTAAAAAAAAAATCCTTAATATATTGCAAATGGAGCTGGTAATGATATCATTGTCTTAGTATGTAAATGAAATGTAAATGAAAACACTCTCTAGCTAATTTAATGATTGTAAAACAGTAAATATGTTCTTGTAGTTTTGTATAATTAACTAGTTGAGATCTTTGGCCAGTTTTATTTGTGCAAAAGATGGTATCCTAACCAGTTAAACAGCTAAAATCATTTATATTCTTGCACATCTATTAAAGACTTTAATGAAAATATTACGACTTGTTTCATTATGCAAAAATAATATACTTTCTTCAGATGGATTACCATGTTTTATTCATATGTTTCAGTTCCATACGTTCTGCACACCAAGTGGTCTTGTTTGCATTTGATCTCTTCAAACAGAGTTGATCTCTTCAAACTGTCTGGAAACAACTATTACAATAAAAGCAGAGTTCAAACACGAACTCTTAGTTACCGTTCAAGAATTTGTATTCCTCTATAACTGTGTAAAGGTGGTTAAATTCAATCTGCATGAAATTAGAGCTCTTAGTGTAGTTGTGTTTAGTTCGCTAAGGTGGAGCTATACTTTAAAACCGTTTGACTTTTGACACTTATTTAAATCCCAACACGCTGATTATGTAAACGCAATTCCTCCAAAGTTATTGAAATAACATTTACAAAAAACATTTCTTTCTCCCTTGCAGGGCTACATAACCAAATACCCATCAAGATTTCACTGTATAGGTAGTGCTTGACTTACAACAGTTTGTTTAGTGACCGTTTGAGGTTACAACAGCAATGAAAAAAGTGACTTATGACCATTTTCCACACCTACGACCGTTGCAGCATCCCCACGGTCATGTGATCAAAATTTGGATGCTTGGCAACTGGTTCATATTTATGAGTTTGGTTAACATCTCATCATCTTTGTTTTCAAATAAACTTTTAGCACAATTATTACCATGTTTCCGTTTGGAGTATCTATGAACTGGAAACAACTGCGATAATTTGATCTGCAGATAAAATCACTATCTACTAATACACAACTCTTATTATATTTCTAATTCTTCTACCACATTTGTCATCTAGTTTAACACAAAAGAGAAAAATTCTTACTATCTTGTACAATTTTTAACGAGGCTACATAGTAAATGGAGTTCACTAATTTCTGAATCTGTTATTGGATATAAAACTTTGGCTGGATATAAAATTTTCGCCAATTTTTTTTTTTACCTAGTTCCTAACCATTAACATTCAAAAAATTGAGTGTTTCAATTTATTCCTTTGCAAAAATTATTGAAAACTATGAGTCAGCTCCTCCTGCTGCTGCTTTTAAAGCTGGCACTTAATGCCAACCTATTACTTATATAAATTCTTTGCAGGTTTTCTATTTATCTGGTTGATGATGCATTCACATTTATGATCCCACAGGGGGGAAAGTACATAGCCATGTTTCATGCTAATGAAAAGCTCCTAAAGTTAAAAAAATAATAATAATTCCAAGACATTTTAATATTAGGTGCCTTTGTCAGGGGAAACTTCTGATTTTCTATTTTTGCTTTCTAACATGTAGTAGTCAATTAACATTCCTTTTATTCCTATCCCTTTCCCAAGTGTATTCATGATGCGCTTAGCCCCCACTTATTTCTTAAAATCAGATTTTCGCTGAAAGAATAATTTCTGTAATATTACACATATTGGATATGTCATTCTGACCCTCCTGGCTGCCAGTGGGAGAAATAGCAGGCATCTCTTGCAGAGGTGAGTTCTTGTTAAGTAAACTTATATCATACTACTTCAGCATTCACTCTGCAAAGGAGTCCTTTTCCATAACTTTGAAATTCAAAACTTTGGGGACAGTTCAGAGCATTTGTTAGTGAAGAAAGTCTGGGCAAACTTGGTGAGTGGCTTAAGATATCTCAAATGCTTCATCTTCCAGCACAACAGGACGTCTGATGCCACTCTTTGGGTTTTCCACCGTATATTTCTTGGCTGTTTGAGATTTTGGCTCAGGAGCTAGCAAAATGGCTTGGTGTGTCTCATCTTGGTCATTTTCTCCTGGGGAAATGGATTTTTTTTTCTTCAGGCGTACAGTTTTGACGCCTTCCTGAACCGGTGGCTTCTCAGTCTGCGTGATAAACTGGGAACGGAACCCATTCAAACGTCTTGGTTCCGCAATTAAATGTTTCGAGGCAGGGTTGAGGACTCGCAATTTGAGAATTCTGTAACGGAAAACAAAAGGGTCAGCACTGAACAGCAATGGCTAGAAGAATTTAAATTTTCCTTTCTCATTTGGTGCAGTGAACATTAAATATTCTGATCCTTGGCCAACCTCCACCAATGAAATTAACAGGCAATTCATATTCTGGAATGTTTGATTATGACTATTTTGATTTGTAAACATCTGGTTTTTAACTCTGGCAATGTCTGTCGGCTGATTTAGTTCTGTCTAGACTGTCTGAAACTTTATTAATTTCCTATTATCCCTGCCCTGTTTTTCTCTACCTGTGGTAAAGCATTTGATATTTTAATTTTCAACTTTTACCTCTCTGGGAATTTAAACATGACCATATTCAGCAAAGGGAAGACTTAATTTTATAAATATTCTCTTGGAGACAGTGTCAACTGCTGCCTTCTGCTACCTTCGGATGAAATTCCGGGAAGCTGACAAATTTTTCTAAATTTGATTGATTCAGATGTGGATCCACAGTCCTCAGCAAGGTAATCCATGAAGCTTCAGCCTCACTTAGCTCTTGATTTTCAAACCAGGAAGCGTTGGTGGAAAACGTCCTACAGAATGAAAAGGCACAATTGTAACAGTTCCAGCTTGTCAGAACAAAGTGATCTATCATTTAAAACAGCGTTTCTCAACCTTGACAATTTTAAGGCATGTGGACTTCAACTCCCAGAATTCCACAGCCAGCATTGCTGGCTGTGGAATTCTGGGAGTTGAAGTCCACATGCCTTAAAAGTGTCAAGGTTGAGAAACACTGATTTAAAAAACTTCTTTGTTTTCCTTGTTTGTGGAATTCTAATTGTACAGCAAGAAGTTTAGCTCTTCTAGGAATTCCAGAATCAAAAATAACCAAAATATTGAAGAAAGGTGAAAGAAGAAGAAGAAAGGCTGGAAGAGGAAGGAAGGGAAAAGAAGGGAAGGAAGGAAGGAAGGAAGGAAGGAAAAGAAATAGAGAAGGCGAAAGGAATACGGTGAAAGAAAAAGTGGAGAGGGAATCAAAGTGAAAGACAGAATGGTGAGAAAGAGAAAGGAAAAGAGAAATAAGAGTGTGAAAGGAAAGCAGAGACCGGAAGGAAGGAAGGAAGGAAGGAAGGAAGGAAGGAAGGAAGGAAAGAAGGAAGGAAGGAAGGAAGGAAGGAAAAGAAATAGAGAAGGTGAAAGGAATACAGTGAAAGAAAAAGTGAAGAGGGAATCAAAGTGAAAGAAAGAATGGTGAGAAAGAGAAAGGAAAAGAGAAATAGAGTGTGAAAGGAAAGCAGAAACCAGAAGGAAGGAAGGAAGGAAGGAAGGAAGGAAAAGAAATAGAGAAGGTGAAAGGAATACAATGAAAGAAAAAGTGAAGAGGGAATCAAAGTGAAAGAAAGAATGGTGAGAAAGAGAAAGGAAAAGAGAAATAGAGTGTGAAAGGAAAGCAGAGACCAGAAGGAAGGAAGGAAAAGAAATAAGGCAAAAGAAATACGGTGAAAGAAAAAGTGGAGAAGGAATCACAGTGAAAAGAGAAAGGAAAAGAGAAATAGAAAGGGCATGAAAGGAAAGCAGAGACCAGAAGGAAGGAAGGAAGGAGAGAAAAAGAGAAAGAAAAGAATGGAGGAAGAGGAGGAGAAGAATGGAGGGATGAAATAACAAAAGGAAGAGAGGTGCCCAACAGAGGGAAAGGCGGTATAAGCAAGCCATGGAAGCAGCCGGGTGACTTTGGCTCGGTCCCTCTCTCCTTCAGCCCCAGCCCACCTCGCAGGGCTGTTGTGGGGGCAAAAGAGGAGGAGTTGGGTGGGTCGGTTGCCCTGAGTTACTTGCAAAAGTAAAATGCAAATGAAGCCAACAAACCCAGGACGACCCTCCCTCCCCCCCCTCCCGCGCGCCCAGGCGCCGCCTCACCCAGGGACGCCCCCGCGGTCCTCCCGCCGCCGCTTCAGGCTCAGCTTCCCGCCGATGCCGCCGCCGCCGCGCGCAGGAAGCCCGGCCATTTCCTCTCCCCGGCCACGCCCCCTCCCGCTCCGTTGGCGGGAAAAGAGGGCGCACGCGCACGCGGGAGGAGGCTGGAGGTGGGGTGGGTCGGGGGGAATTTACCTCAGGCTTTTCTTCCTCTTTCCTACTTTTTATGGTATATATTAACTTGTATTCTGTTAATTGTACAGTACAGAGCAGCATTTTTATTTTATGTGGTGTATATATCATACTATTATGTATGTTTTATATTCATTTTGTACGGTTTACATTGTATTATAGTATATAGTATGTTGTATTATAATTCAGGGGTAGGCAACCTGGGCTCTTTCATGACAATGTGAACTTCAACTCCCAGAATTCCTGAGCCAGCAGGGCCCAGCTTGGAAACTCTCCCTTTCCCCTCAGCATGGCTGGCTCAGGAATTCTGGGAGTTGAAGTCCACCAGTCATAAAAGAGCCAAGGTGGCCTACCCCTGAGTTACTAGGAGGATGAGGGGACTTCAACTCCCAGAATCCCTCTGCCAGCATGGCACCCCATATCAGGAATAGGCAACCTTGGCTCTTTTATGACTGGTGGACTTCAACTCCCAGAATTCCTGAGCCAGCATGGCTCAGCTTGAAAACCTCTCCGTTTCCCCTCAGCATGGCCGGCTCAGGAATTCTGGGAGTTGAAGTCCACCAGTCATAAAAGAGCCAAGGTTGCCTACCCCTGGGCTAGGGGTAGGCAACCTTGGCTCTTTTATAACTCGTGGACTTCAACTCCCAGAATTCCTGAGCCAGCATGGCTCAGCTTGGAAACCTCTCTCCCCTCAGCATGGCTGGCTCAGGAATTCTGGGAGTTGAAGTCCATGAGTCATAAAAGAGCCAAGGTGGCCTACCCCTGAGTTACTAGGAAGATGAGGGGACTTCAACTCCCAGAATCCCTCTGCCAGCATGGCACCCCATATCAGGAATAGGCAACCTTGGCTCTTTTATGACTGGTGGACTTCAACTCCCAGAATTCCTGAGCCAGCATGGCTCAGCTTGGAAACCTCTCCCTTTTCCCTCAGCATGACTGGCTCAGGAATTCTGGGAGTTGAAGTCCACTAGTCATAAAAGAGCCAAGGTTGACTACCTCTGTAATTATATAAATAATAATATGATATAATATATGATGTAAGCATAGAAGGAAAACTTGACACCAGAACATAATTGTTTCATGGCCTTAAAGCTGTGTGAAAACCAAAAGAAGCCTTTCATTTCTAACTCCCAGAATTTTTTTCACAGTAGATCCCTAGTTTAAATTGAGATGTTATTCCTTGCCACTTGAGGGCACCAGAAATACATTTTAAACTTTTTTTTTATTGTTATTATTATTCTAGTTTTTAACTGGGAGTCGAACATCTGGAGACTTTTCCCTGTGTACAATCATATACGATCATGATTAGTAACAGTTATGTTTGCCTGAATTGTAAATAGTTCTGTAGAATATTTTGTGACAGTGTTGCACAAAACTGAATCATTGCAGTATGTGTTTATGGAACCATATGCGACATGTGGGCGAATGAGTCCCTTTAGAAAGATTGCAAAAATGAAAAGATTTTTTTTTTAAACTTTCTGTTACATTTACAGTAATAATGAGCACATCACTTTTATGTATATAACATTGCATAATGTGTTTGTGTGTCAATCAGAATAGAGCTGGAAGGGACTTTGGAGGAGACCCTATACATTTCAGACAAGTGACATGACAAAAGACTGTCTAGTTTTTTCTAAAAAACCTCCAGTGATGAAGTACCCACAACTTCTGAAGGCAAGCCATTCCACTGGTTAAAAGTCTTCATTGTTAGAGAATTTCTCCTTAATTCCAGGTTGTTTCTCTCCTTGATTAGTTTCCATCCATTGCTTCTTGTCCTGCCTTCTGGTGCTTTGGAGAAGAGGCAGCCCCTCAAATATTGGAATACAGCCATCATATCCCCCCCCTAGTCCTTCTTTTCTCTAAACTAGCCATACCCAATTCCTGCAACTCTTCTTTGTGTGTGTGTGTGTGTGTGTATCTGATGTTAAGGGTGGGGGAAACTATCCTGGTAAAATGCTTCTGTTTAAAGATTGTACCATTCAAAACATGAGTGATAGATTCCAGCCATGCCCTTTGCCTGTATAAACAATCATTTTTGTTTCTTGTCAAGGTAAAAGGAAAAGCAATTTTATATCTACAGATGGCACAAAAACGAAGAAAGCATCAATGGAAGTGCTAACAATAGAAGGTAAGAAGTATAATTTTCATAATAAAAAAAATATTGAAGTGTCTAATTGGAAACATGTCCACCCGAAAAATGATGATTCGACTAAAAGTACACTTTGCTCATTACAAAGGTTGGGGGTTGGATTTTATTTTTTTAAATACATATGCCAAAGTAATTTTTTTTTTCTATTCTGGACGTCTCAGAGGGCAAGGGTTTGGTTTTATGATGACAGAAAATAACACGTAACATCTCTCTCAAGTTTTGCTGGACTGAAATGACATCACTGATGGAGCCAGGCAATTTTTTTTTTTTTGAAACAGCATGGAAGTAGTTTAACTTAGTCTTTTTGTGGGGTGTTTTGAGAGACCCACTCTAGTCTACAATGCTGGTAATTTGCTGGAGGCCTCTCATCCAGAAACATTGGCCAGGTACTTCCACCTAATAAGGCCATAATGTCATTTGGCCTTCCTGTGTGTGGCTTATTCAATTCTATTGCTGGAAAGGACCCTGACTGGACGTCATATAGTAGTGTTATGTAATTCTATTTACCAGAATAAGCTCTTTGACAGGGTCAAGTTTATTTCAGCTGAAGACAGGTGCCTTCAACACCATTGCTGACATTTTACTCAAACTGGAAAAAGAAATAGCTGGAGATAAACGTTAGGAGAGTGACTTCCAACACTGGCCTGAAGTCTGAAGCAGCGATCCAAACTAGGATATTGCCAGTAAAGTTAAATAGGACCATCTTACAATGAAGCTGAATAAAAGCATTAGAGGGGACCATTCGTTTTTTTAAAATGTCATCCTGATTCTGTTTTTGGACTCATTTACCCATCAAAAACAGCATCCATTTGGCAGCTTGCACTACGTCAAAAGATCACGCAGGCAAGAAGTTAAATTCAAGTTGCTGATTCAAATTGCCCATATGTTGCTTTAAAAACAAATATCTGCATAGTTGATCTCCACCAAGCCCCCCCCCCCGACCTGTTGTGTAGACACTTTTAAAATCTGAGAAAGCAGACTGTTGTTGTTGTTTTTGTCCACTAAGTTGCTGTTAGGCGTCTCGCCTTAATAACCACCCCTAGAAATTGAGCAACCTTCAGGGTGGTCCAGAATCCTCCAGACAGCTGAGCAAAAACTAAATGCAAGTTTAGCGTTTGCAACTGCTGAAGAGGAATTAAAATGGCATGAACATGTTCTGAACAAATCTCCTTGGTATGAGCGGCTGAGTCATAGATAGTCTCAAGAGCTACAAATATTCTGAACTTCCAGCTGAAGCTCTCTGGCTGCAGGGTGGTGAGATGCTCCAGTCAACCCATCTGTTTCCACATTCCTTTGCTGACTGTCAACGGAACTTGAGAGTCTTCCCCAAAGGCC